CACACACACACACACACACACACACACACACACACACACACACACACACACACACACACACACACACACAAACTATTCCACTTCACACTTCCCTCTGCTTACAACTTTACATGTGTGTGTGTTCTCGTGTTCGCTATACACAACTCCACAGAAAAAAACGCACGACTGTGCCAGACTGTTTCATCGGACTTTCACCGACTCATCAGGAGGTGTGTGTGTGTGTGTGCATAAATACTGTTTGTCACTCTGTGTGTTGGTCACAACTGCTCAAGAGCGAAATGATTGTGAGATCCTGCAAAACCTGAACTCACCAGTAGACCAAGACAGTTTGTCTCCATGCGCACGTGGTGGGATGGGGGAGAGGGGGATTCGATAGTTTTCTTGCCATTTTTTCCAGGTTCTCACAAAGTTGTTCGTCATTTGTTTTGTGCATATCATCCTTTCCTTATGTGAAAACTGGACTCCCAAACCCCAACTGTACCCATTGTACAGCCATGATTCCAGGGAAGAAGATAAGGGCATGCTTTGGGTTTTGTGATATAAGGAACTTCACCGACACAACAGAATGTTTGCAGGAGGAGGTTATGCTGTTTGTTAACAAGGTAGCAGAACTCGTCCACAGCAAAGCTGTCGCAAACTACGGGGCACCTAACAAAAACATCGGCGATGCTTTCCTCATTGTTTGGAAAAAGCATATTGTTGACCATACTGCATTGAAGGTATGAACGTAAGATGTCATAAATCGAAGGTTGAAATTTCTTTCGCTGATTGCTTAATGTTTCATTGTGACTTAAAGAACTACTAATACTTTTGGCTTTTGGAAGTCTTCTGTAGGATATTTGGCCAAAGATAGAATGATTTTTCGACAAATTCTATTTTCAAATTTTCATACTATGTGATTGTGCAATCTGAATATTGTCATCTCGCTTCTGTTCATTTTCCTTGCACTACCAAAGAACGAAATTATGTTTTCATTTGAATTTGCCACTCCAAGCATCATGAAAGTTCATGAAACTAATACCATTTTCTTTAGCGCTATAGGCGCATTTTTGGCGTATCACCGGTATCATGTTAATTTTTGTGCAAGTCAATTTAGAAGACCAAAATTAAAAAAAGGAAACAAAGATAAAGATAGCCCCTGTTGTTGTGTCTTTCATTTGATATTCTCTGTATCTTCCAAATTTAAAAAAAAGGAAACAAAGATAAAGATAGCCCCTGTTGTTGTGTCTTTCATTTGATATTCTCTGTAGCTTTCAAATTTTCATGTATGTCTCAAAGGACTTATGTCTGTCATTTCAACATGGAAATTCAGTGCAAACGAACAAATGAATATGGATTAACAGCATCTTTCCGTTAGGAAATTGGCCCAAAGGCCCCAAACAGCCGACTTGAGATCGGTTGATACGGGGCTCATTCAGATTTTTTCCACTTCTGCGATGACCCTTTTGTAAAGGCACTAATCCCAATTTCATGTGGCTGAGTGGAGTAGCCGGAAAAACAGTTCATAGGGCCTGGATCAGTGCCATATAGGGTATTGATGTTGGGCCATTTTGGGCCCAAACGACTCAGACACAAACCCGAGCTTGAAAAAGCCAACAGTCAGACACAGACCTGGGAGAGACGTCAAATAATCAATGATATTTGCAAGGAGATTCTGAGCCATCCAAAAGCTGAACAAGGGCCCCCGACACCTGCTGGTCGCAGATGTATCCAGGCCCAGCCCACTGCCAGCCTTGCCTCACACTGCATTTCCCATCAGCAATCTGGCTCGTGCACCACAAAGCATCTCATCGATTGATTCAGTTCACAACCTGATTGCTCGAGGTATATCTACAAGGCCTACCGTGTTGACTCATTTGTTTGCTCTTGCTGGTTTATGCACTTACACCGCCACTATGGAAGGAAACTGCATTGGAGCAGACAATGAACACCCATGCCTAGCATGCATATGGTGATCAGGCGACTGCCAGAAATGAAAAGCAATGATCACAGTCGTACAAAAATTGACAAACTTGGTTTCTCTTGATGATCAAAAGCCCTTGTCCCATCTCCCGCCGCTCAATACCACAACAACTATAGTTCTCTGCTACCGCTGGTCTCTTTACCAGACTATGTGATCATCTACTCTACCATCTACCCTAGCCTACACTACTCTTGTGTACAATGTCGCAGTACGATGTTGCTCCCACTGATGCCTGAATGAAGAATGTACCACAGTGGAGCTCTTGTTGGCTGCCACCAGGTATGCCCCTCACCACTTCTCTCTCTCCCTACAGCCCTCGCCTCCCTCCAAGGACCTCCCATCCTTGTACCAGCTCTCTCTCTCTCTCTCTCTCTCTCTCTCTCTCTCTCTCTCTCTCTCTCTCTCTCTCTCTCTCTCTCTCTCTCCCCCCAGCTGCCTAGATATGACTAGCGCTGCCTCCCTTGTCAGTCACTGGGCACTGCTGCTAGCAGGCTGGTGGATTCTGCCCGACTGAAATGTCCAGCTGCGTCCCGGTCCTTCAATCTGTAGCCACGCTGGGGTCCCTACCCACCCAGTCTGGCCTCTGCCCGCACCAGTATCCAACGGTATCCCAACCGGTCAGGTAGCGATCCCTGCAAGCCCCCTTGTGTCTGCCGCCGGCCCAATTCAGCCTTATCTCGGGCCTATCGAGTTACATCTGCCTTAGGGCCTACTCACCCTCACTGCCAAGAGCCCCTTGCACCTCACAACTGCCTTTTGCAACCACCTTCGTGACCATAGCCTCTTGTCAGAGGAAGAATAGTTTCTTGTCTGTTGATATGTGCTGTGTGATCGTGCCTGCTTTGTCTTTTTCTTTTTCCTTTTTTTTTTTTTCTCAAACAGGTCCTTATGGGCCTGGCTCCATATCCATTCTGGGGAGCGTCAGTCCGGTTCCTTTTTTCTTCTTTTTTTT